AGAGAGAGAGAGAGAGAGAGAGAGAGAGAGAGAGAGAGAGAGAGAGAGAATGCTTCTTCACTATGGCTAAAATTCCTTCCCCAGAGAAGATATGAACATTTACCTCTCCTTGAGTCCACCAAAATCCACCTTAGGTTTACCTGCAGGGCTTTGTGTGAGGGATTATGGGCAGGAGCATGGGTGACTTTCTAGCAGCCACACTGGAAGATTGCATCCATCATGCCTGATGACTCCTCATGGGTATGCAGATGGAGTTCCCTCCCATATTGCCCACCTATAGCCTCTAGCCCTTCTCAGAGACCCCAAGGCCATGTGCAATTGGGGACAAATTGGGAGGGATGGCTGGATACTCAATGGAGGTTACTATGACCCTCCCTGGCCCCCTCTTTCCAGGAGGGAATGTCAGCACTCAACAAGCCCAGCTGTGATGATCCTTGGTGAGCAGGCTAAACCTCCTGAAGATGGCAACAGTTTGGCTGGGAGGATAGCTTTGCACAACATCCTTCCATCCAGGCCATGGCATGCCCCTTCTACTGTCTCTGTGGACTTGGCTCCTTTGGGACAGTCACATTTTATGGTAGCTGTCCTTTCATGCCTGGCTTATTTCACTTAGTGTTGTGTCCTTGGAGCTCCTCCCCATCATGGCTTGGTCAGAAGTCTTTTTTTTTTTTAAGGCCAAGTAACAAATAACATTCCATGATATGAGTATATCAACTGACTGTGAGTACGTGTGTGCAATGATGGGGATTGAACCCAGGGTGTGGCACATTCTAGGCAAGTGCTCTACTATTGAGGCAAATCTCAAGCCCCCTCCCCCACCTTTTTAGGGTCTTAGTATTTAGCTAACATTCTTGAACCTGCAATGTGACCCTATAAAAGTGGGGTTTTTGAGATTTTGGCTTTGTTTTGTTAAGGCAGAGCCTCGTGTAACCTGGCATGACCTTGGATTTATAATCCTGCTGCATTTGCCTTCTCCCAAGTGCTGGGCCTCTGAGGTTCGCGTTCGCTATCATCAACCAATTGCAGATTTGGAAAAGTAATATGGGAAAATTTGATATCACAGTGTTGAGATTTCCTAGGGGACTCTGGACTTGTTCACAACTTGTATGTCTTTTCGTTTGGGTGGCAGGAAATGACTAGCTCTTCCTCTGACTTGTGTCCAATCCTTTTCTTCCAACAGCCCAACACTGAGGGCATCTGGGAGCTGATGACAGGAGGGGTCTTCTACTGCTTGGGTATGGTGTTCTTCAAGAGTGACGGGAGGATTCCCTTTGCCCATGCCATCTGGCACCTCTTTGTGGCATTTGGTGCTGGTACCCACTACTATGCCATCTGGAGGTACCTCTACCTGCCCAGCACACTGCAGACCAAGGTGTCCAAATGAAATGACCCAGACTCCATGGGTCATTTAGACTTTGGGATCAAAGCATCTTGGGAAGTGAACTGAGAACTCTAACCCAGAGCATAGTGCCAAGGTCTGCCTGCCTTTTCCTGGATGGAATTCTTTAAGGGTCTAAGGTCCCTTTCACTGACAGCCAGACCACCTTTTGAGTCTCCAGCAAGGAAGAAAACATTTAGTCGTCTCTATGGAGAAGAAATTAATTCAGTACTGTATTTCTACTTTAGACAAATGACTTTTTTTTTTTTTTACTATAACCAATATTAACATCTTCAGAAAAGGGCAAAATTGGGAATGAGCATTTGAGAAGCAATTTTTAAGGTCCTGAGAATCTCCCTTTCTGCTGCAGGGGAAAACCACCTAGCATTATAGATGACAGATGGGGAATATCCCTGACCATTTCGGACATCACCAATCAATTGCAGAATTTGCATAGTGGTAGGTAGAATTCAACATAGTGCCCCATGCAGACATTACTAATTGATTCTGTGCTCATGATGGAACTTCTTGGCTGGCCTGGTATGTTAAGAGACAAGATCACAGCAGAGCCATTAGAAACCACTGTATGGAGGAGCATGCTTATCTCTGGACACAATTACCTTCTATTCCCTCCTGCCCACCTTCAAGGAAACATTGGTGTGGGATGTTTGGAGGCAGTGCAGGGAAACCAAGGCATACATTCCAAGCAGCTGCTGACACTCCGGTCCACCATGGCTGGTCCTTGGTACTGGAGGAACTGAGAGCTGGGATGAGGATGCTGCTACTTAGCTATTTCTTCTCATCTCACAGAATCCAGAGAAATGATGAAGCTGCATTCAGCAGGTTTTTTCCCCCCTTGGTTTTCTGAGATGGCTTCCAGAGGTCCCTCTGATGGGCCCACGAGCAGGGTCTTCAACTATCAGAATTATGGAATGTCTACATCCCCAACCTCTGAGGTGACATGTCAGCTAAGAACATGGCTGTCAGGGGCCTATCCTCAGCCACCTCTACTCCTGGGCTAGCCTTGTCATAAGATGCCACCTGGACACTGGCTGAGTTTTGGAGCTGCGGGCCATGCTCCTGACCTGAGCTGACAACTCAGAATCTCTGGAAGAGGCTACTGGAAATCCAAGGTCTTATTCAACAACTTCCGGCCAGATGGGTGTGGGCGAGGGTGGGCCTAGACAGGGTGCCTTATACTTTGTTCTAGCACATTCCAAGGTATTTCAGGGCTTCCTCACCTGGAATCCCATATGTCAAAGCCAGTATTAAATCAAGTTTATGCATTCCTCAGAAAGATGGTTTTGGAGCCAGTGAGCTTTAGGATTGGTTTTGTCTAGCCTGCCTGTGCATATGAGTGCTGTGTGCATGTATGAACGTGTGTGTGTGTGTGTGTGTGTGTGTGTGAACAGGACCTCCAGCCCCTGGAAACCATCTTGGGTAATGCTGTCCCATGGATCTCCCCCATGTTTCCTCCAACTGGGGGTCAGGGTTCAGAGAAGAGGACCACAATGGAGACAACTGACTGCAGACCGGCCTCCCCTTGTGTCTGAGGCTACTGGGGGAAGGGGTGGGGCATCTGGAATGCTGTGTGGGAACTCCCCTGGATGTGGCACTGGTCAGACCAAGAGAATCTTTTGTCACTAGGATGCTAATGGGGACCAAGGAGGTTCCCAGGAATAGTGATGGATGCCAGGACACTGACTTGGCACTTCAAAGTGACCACATGGCCCCTGCGGAGCTCATGAGGTGAACAGTTCCACCTCCTGTGCCCCTGGGCTGAGCATTTGATTTGAGTTGGCCCTAGATGGCTACCCCACATGTTGTCTCTCTCCTACCCAACTCCTACTCATCCTTCAAAGCCCAAATACACATTGAGGAGCTTGTAGATTTTGTGTGACTCTGGGGCTATCTTCTGCACCCCCTCATTCCTCGTGCTTATTTGTATCACAGCTCAGAGCCCTGTCTGTCACTCAGGTACTTAAGCTGCTCCTAGAGGGCAGAGCTTTCTTGCTGGGATTGTCATCAAATTTGGCCTTCCCCATCTGCAAGGGTTTACTGTTCTCTGTGGCAGGTGCTGCCAACTACAAACAAAGTAAATGAGACAGTCCTTTATAGGGGGACTATAGGGAGAGATGGCTCAGCAGTTAAGAGCACTTCCTCCAGAGGACCTGGGTTCAATTCCCAGCACCCACATGGCAGCTCACAACCCTCTCTAATTCCCGTTTCAGGGGAGCTGATGCCTCTTCTGGCCTCTGCAGGTGCTAGGCGTGCATGTGATGCACAGACATACGTGTAGGCAAAATAGCCACACATATAAAGATAAATAAATAAATGGGGCTGCATGAAGAAAGGAGTAGGGTAATAAATATCCAGTGGGGCTGCTGAGATGGCTCAGAAGTGAAGGTGCTTGCTGCTAAGCCTGCTGACCTGAGTTCAGTTCCTGGGGCCCACAGCAGGAGAGACTGGACTTCTGTAAGCTGTCTTCTGTCACACACACACACACACACACACACACAAACGGTGATATTTGTAATCTAAGAAATAAAGCTTGCCTAAAGATCAGAGGACAGAGCCAGCCACAAAGTTAAACACAGAGGCCAGGCAGTGGTAGTACACACATTTTGTTTTGTTTTGTTTGTTTGTTTTTTGAGACAGGGTTTCTGTGTAGCTGTGGTGCCTGTCCTGGATCTTGCTCTGTAAACCAGGCTGGCCTCGAACTCACAGAGATCTGCCTGGCTCTGCCTCCCGAGTGCTGGGATAAAAGGCATGCTCTACCACCTCTCAGCTTGGTGGCACACACCTTTAACCCCAGTATTTGGGAAGCACACACACCATTAATCCCAGCACTAGGAAGGTTGAGATAGGAAGTGAAATGGCTGAGTGGAGAAAGACATAAGGCGCGAGGAGACAGGAACTAAAGAGCCTTTCAGCTGAGGACTCAGGAGCATTCAGTCTGAGGATTCGTGGAGTTGGTGAGGTGAGACGTGGCTGTGGCTTGTTCCTTTGTCTCTCTGATCTTTCAGCATTTACCCCAATATCTGGCTCCAGGTTTTTATTATAAGACCATTTAGAATAGAATTCATGCAACACACACACACACACACACACACACACACACACACACACACACACACATACAGACAGTGACTTAAAATGCAGCATCAGCCTGTGTCCTAATTCGTTATGGTGAAATTTCAACTATGGGTAACACTTGGGAGCCTCCTGAAAGGCCTTGGCTACTCTTCCTTCCCTTGCTCCAATTCAAGACACACTAGCATCATCTAGCATCATTCAGGAAGGAGGGTCTCCCAGGATCCCATTCCACTCCAGCCCTGATTCCAGATGTCACCACATATCACCAGAGCACCAGAGCAGGAACAGAGATTCCCATGGGAGGAGTGTGGGGGCAGAGAGCACGCTGGGACCTAAGATGCCAGCACTCCACTATTGTCATGACCCAAAGAGCCAGGGAGACAGCAGCAGTGTGTCTCACAGCTGTGCACAGCTGGGAGAGCTTCCTTGGAGGGTTTGGAACACTCCGGGTGGGGTGGGGGTGGGGGGCGGTAGAGTCAATCTCAGGCCAGAGCTAGAATGGAAACATGAGCAGGGTTGGGTGGCTCTCTCATGGGGAAACATAAGAGGGGAGCCCTGGGTGACAGAAAGAGGAAACAGTGCTGGGAACCGCAAGCAGACCTGGGTCTCATTGTCCAAAGCTGCCTTGGCTGAGGCTGGGCCCTTGTGCGGCAACACAGTGTGATGAGGATAGGAGCTTGCAGGGAACCTCGGCCCTGCCTTTCCTGCCTGCCCGCCCAGGTCTGTGCTGCTCTCCTCTCCCCATTTTTCTCCTCACTCCCTTCCTTTTCTTTTTCTTTCCTTTCTTTTCTCTTTTCTTTTCCTTTCTTTTTTCTTCTCTTTCTCTCCTTCCCTCCCTCCCTTCTTTCTTTCTCCCTGCCCCCCCCCATCTCTTTTCGAGACAGGGTTTCTCTGTGTAAACCAGGCTGGCTTCGAACTCACAGAGATCTACCATCTGGGATTAAACAAGTGCACCACCACACCCAGCTTTTCCTTTTCTTCTTTTGAGATGGGGTCTTGTGTAGCCAAGGCTAGTCTCACATGGCCAAGAATGTCCTTGAACTCCCGATCCTCCTGCCTCTACCTCCCAGGGCTGGGCTTGTCAGGGTGCAGTGCCACATCCAGTGCTGGGGAGGCAACCCAGGGCTCCGTGCTTGTCAAGCGAGCACTCTACCAGCGCAGACACATCCTCATTTCCCTGCTCTCTACTGAATTCCCAGGGTCTGGGGATTGCGCTACATCTTGTGTGGGATATCTGAGGGGAAAAAAATCTACGTACACTAAGCTCTTATGTCTGTTAACTTTATTCCTCTAAGACAAAATTCTATCAATACAGCTATAGCTCCGTCAGGCATTCAGGACAAGAATAAATATAGATACACCAAGCTCTTTATCTGTCTACTTTATTTCTCTGGGATGAAATCCTGTTTCCATAGCTACAGTTCTGTCCAGTTCCCTAGCCCATAGTCCTGCTAACGACTAAACTCCTAGGCTTCCATCTTCATCTTCGTCCTCAGTTTCCTCATTCTCCATTTCCACTACTCTCTACTCCTGGCACTCAGAAAACTCTACCCGAGATCTGCTTACCCTCTGCGGAACCTCTGTCTTCCTCTCTTTTCTCTCGCCATGTCGTTCTGTCTGTTTCTACCGAAAATGCCTGTCTTCCTCTGCCTGGCCACACGATTCTCTGCCTCCTAAGGAATGTTCCTCCACCCTACCTTCCACCTTGATATCTAAAACCTCTAGGTGAGGAGATGGTCTGAGCTTCATTTGCACAAGAAGCAAGCTATATGTCTGAGGGGGGGAAGTGGGGGGCAGGAAGAAGGAGTTAGTAACTTAGAAGTTCAGTGGGTCTAGAAATATTTGGGCATGCAAAAATTTCATAGTAGAAGACAGCTGAAATATTAAAGGCTGGATAGCACCAAATATTCATAATAAATGGCTTGCCTTTTGACAGACCCTTGGCTGGTCAAAGTATAGCTTTAATACACAGCTGAATCTCGATAATATATTCTTGTGGCCTGCAAGAGCTCTCTTTTCCATCTAAGCCTGCAAATGAACAGGGCAGGCTTCCCTCTAGAGCTCTGCCTGAGCCTAGTGATGGGGAAGAGACATGGGAGGATCACCAGGGCGCACTGGTGGGCCAGTCTGGCTGAACTGGTAAGCTACAGGTTCAGTGAGAGACCTTGTCTCAAAAAAATAAAAATAAAAATAAAAATAGGGTGGGGGACTACAAGATAGATCAGGCTGTAAAAGCTCTTCATGCCAATGATGGCCTGAGTTCAATCCCTGGAACCCATGGGATAGAAGGAAAGAATCGACCCCTTTCCCCAAGATATCTGAAAATTGTCTCCCATGACCAATATAAATAAAAATGTGATTGAAAAAGATAAGATGAGGAGTGGCTGGAGAAGGTGCTGACATTGACCTCTGCCTGGCCCTCACATGTGTGTGTTTGATCATACCTGTATGCACACACATGAACACATACATACCCCCAAAAATGAATAAATAAAAATAATTTAAAAATAAGAACTGAAGATGTGGGTTTAGACACAGGGAGGGATTTATTCGGCTGGCTGGCAATTGGGGATGGATCAGGCATGCCACCATTGGCTGTGGCAGCTCCCCCACATGAGTCCCTCCTCTAGTCCCAACAATCTTCTCTTTGTAGTTGGCTTCAAGATGGCCTTTAAATCAACGGTTGGCACTGGCGGGCTGTGTGTGTGTGTGTGTGTGTGTGTGTGTGTGTGTGTGTGTGTGCCATGACACACATGTGTAGGTAAGAGAACAACTTATGGGAGTTTCTTCTCTCTTTCCACCATTGGATCGTGGTATTTGAACTCAGATCATCAGGCTTGGTGGCCTAGCTCCCTCTTCAGCCCTCCTCTGCTCTACTGTGTAGCTGAAGTGTTCCTGTGTCCCACCTGGCCCCAGTCAGGACAAATCTCTCTCACCCGCCAGTCCTGCAACTGCTTGGACCCAAGTAAACACACAGAGGCTTATATTGATTAAAACTGCTCAACCATTAGCTCAGGCTAACTATTGACTAGCTCTTACAATTAAACCCAGCCCGTTTCTGTTAATCTATATGTCACCATGTTTTCCGTGGCTTTACCTGTGTGCCATTACATGATGCTCCCTGCACAGCAGGCTGGGGTCTCCTCACTCAGCCTTCCTTCTCCTTGTCTGTTTATCCTGCCTATACTTCCTGCCTGGCTA